CATCTTTGGGATTAACACCAGCCCACTGTGGGTGGTCCCATCCTTGGGCAAGGTGGTCCTGGGTTCTATAAAAAGCAAGGTGAGCAAACCATGATGAGCAAGTTAGTAAGCAGCACTCCTTCATGGCCTCTACATCAGTTGTTTCCTTCAGGTTTCTGCCCTGTTTGAGTTCCTTTTCTGACTTCAATCATGGCACTACAATGTGGAAGAATACGCCAAATAAGCCCTTTCCTCCCCACTTTGCTTTTGGTCATGATGTTTCATCATAGCAACGCTAACCCTAAGTAGGCTGGGCGGGAGGGATGCTGTAGACAGACAGTCCAATGAATATGCTCGAGGTAGGAAGGAACAGTCAGGTGGCTAGGGAAAGTGTGGGCATGGGTGCTGACGAATGAGCAGAGAAGAGTGGGGCGAGGGGATTCTGTTTCTCAGGGCTGTGTCTGAGAGTCAGGGCTGGGGTGTGGCCTTCTAATCTCAGCATAGACAGGTCTCCAAGGAGCCAACTCAGTGACTTGGACCCTCTGGGACCGTGGATGAGGGTGGCCCGCCTCAAAGCTGCCATTGTCGCCTCCATACACGTCTCACTGTCTGGGGCCTAAAATAGAGCAGGAATGGAATGATCCCGTGAGAAGATTCTGGCAAAGGACTATGGGGAAAAGGGGCATGAGTCACGCTGGGAACCCTCGAGTTTGACACTCCCAAAGTTCTTCTGCCCTGCTCAACACCACTGGGCCCCCCCACATCCATTCCTGTCCACTCTGGTCGGGTTGGGGAGCTGGCAGGCCTGGTTCTGCCATGGAGGAACTAAGTCACTTCCCTGTATCTCATCCCCCTGGGAGTCTGTTCTCAGAAGTACCAGAAATAAGGTACCTTAGACATCTGTTGTGAGGGCCCTGGTAATTAATGAGCGAAGGGGACAAACCTAGGACCAGCACCACTACCCATCTCTGTATTTCCCTGGATCTCAGTTTCCTCACCTGTAAAGGTTCTTTGCAGGTTTCAGGTCAAAATCCATGTATGATTCTGAGAGCTTCTGGGACCTCCCTCCTGCACCTTCAACCCCGGACCCTCAGCTAGCACAGTAGGGGAACGTTAGCCAAGGCTGACATATTTTTTTTCATGCCTTTCACTAGACACACTCTGCCTCTGCTCCTTGCACCCTGGAGGTAGAGGCAGATGTTGCTCTCAGCCTGAGAGCTACCAGCCACTCCTGGCCAGAAGTCTGGTTGCTCGTGGGTACTACCATGTGCTCTCACGTGTTTGATTTAACTACGGATTGTGGTAAACTGTATCCAGTTCTGTGAGAGGAAGTTCGTGGAGGCAGTGCAGCTGGCGTCCCAGTGCGTGGGGCCAGCGCGCCCTCTAGAGGCTACTCTGCCGAGTCTTGCTCGACAGCCAGAGCTTCAGGTCTGACCAGCAGGGCGGTTCCAAGGTTGGAAGACTCTGGTGTCTCCAGTCGCTCTACCGTCACTTTCAGTAACCTAAAAGCACTAGTCTCACTACCGCTTTCCATGAAGTCAGCTTAGAGACCTCCCCCACTGCGGCTGCGCGCCCCGCCCCGCCCCATTACCATGGAGACTACTTGTACACAGTTTCCCTTCTTCCCTGTCAGGAACCGAGGCCCCTCCGACGGGACTGGTGCCCGCTTAGGAGGGAGCCCTCCCGGTTCTGGAGTGGGTGCCTATGAACATCAGGGCCCCAGCAAAATTGGCCGTGGGCAGAGTGAGGTTCTACGGTCAACATCACGGGGAGGTGAGGCCCCAGGGCTCTATGCAGACTTAGTGGGGTCATGTCCCAACTCAAGAATAGACGCTGTTTATTTTTTAGAGACAGGGTTTCACTTTGTGGCTGGCCTTGAACAGAGATCCATCTGCCTCTACTTTCCTAGTGCTGGGATTAAGGTGTGTGCACCAGGTCTGTCTCCACGCCTTTAATCCCAGCACTCAGTAGGCAGAAGGGTCTCTACTGAAGGCTACTCTGGTCTAGAGCGAGTTCTAGGACAGCTACACAGAGAAATGTAGCCGTTTGGCCAGGAACTCTTCATGTAAACAAGATTTCAAGCTCACACCCATCTGCTTTGTCTTTTGAGGCAGCCTTAGGCTGGCCTCAAACCTCAGGCATCGTCCTGCCTCTGCCTCCCCTGGTGCTTAGATCAAAAGTATGCATCGTTATGTCTAGCTTGGACTCAGTACTAACTTTGAACTTGTCAATTTTTGATGTAGAACTTACTTTTGCATGGCTGTGGAGTGGGACCTGGAGTTTATGGACCCACCCGGGGTTCCCAGGCAGACCAGGGATGGTTAGAGCTAAGGGGACAAATGACTCCTGACAGGCCTAGGGCCACTTTTGCCCTGTACTTTCAGGTCAACTGCTCTGCCTTCTCCCCTGATGGCTGGACCCTACTCACAGCCTCAGACGACGGTTGTGTGTATGTATGGGGGACAAAGAGTGGGCAACTGCTGTGGAGACTGGCAGGCCACAGAGGTGAGGCTGACATTCTGAGCCTACCTTGGTGACAGGACTTTGGAGGAGAGGGTTGGAGCAAGTCCAGCAGAGGCAGCTGGGTAGGGTGACACTGAATCTAGCACTCGGGAGTCAGGCCTAAGAGACTCAAAATCTTATTTCTTAAACTCTAGATATGTAGTCCAATAGTAGAAACACATAGTAGTTTTACAGAATGTCTCTCTTCCAGGAGAGCTACTCACGGAACACTCCTCCCATGTAATTTTACCTATAGAAGCCTCCCCAGAGTGGCATGTTTGGTAGGCTTATTCCAGTCAGACATTATGTCCTTAAGGCCTCCTGTTGTGCTGCACATGTGAATTTGTCAGACTGTTTTTGGTCCTATCAACTCAACCACTGTCACCAGACTTTAGTCACGAAAGCAAGGTGCTTGACTTAAGACACAGGAAACAATGATGGTAGAGGGTTATTACCACTAAAGGCAGTTCCGGCCAGACCCAAAGAACCTAGGTGCTGGGAGGGCTATAGACTCTGATGGCCTCGTGGTTGAACTACAGATGACAAATCCGGACTCGGAGGGCAGGACAATGCCATGTGCTCTCTGCCTCAGGCCCAGTCAAGTCTTGCTGCTTCTCTCCTGATGGCCGCCTCATCGCCAGCTCCTCCTGTGACCGCACCATCCGCCTGTGGGATGTGACAAGACCCAAGTGCCTACACGTGCTGAAAGGTGAGTGTTCAGTTTGTCCAGGAGCCATACCAGCTCCTTTGTGGACTTTGCTCCATCCTTTCCCACCTTTGGGCTGGTGTTTGTAGGTCACCAGAGGAGTGTGGAAACGGTTAGCTTCAGCCCTGACTCAAAGCAGCTGGCATCGGGTGGCTGGGACAAGCGAGTGATTCTCTGGGAAGTGCAGGTATGATGGGACCTAGGTCAGAGGGGACCAAATACACCCTTGTTTTTTTTTTTTGGTTTTTCAAGACAGGGTTTCTGTGTAGCCCTGGCTGTCCCGGAACTCACTCTGTAGACCAGGCTAGCCTTGAACTCTCTAACTCAGAAATCCGCCTGCCTCTGCCTCCCAAGTGCTGGGATTAAAGGCGTGTGCCACCACCGCCCGGCACACCCTTTGTTTTTAGTGGTTCCCCTACTTCCCACACTCAACCGGGTACCTCAAACTTTCTAGGCCTCAGGTTCCAACTGGCATTACCTTTCCTCTTGCTGTAGCAAGGCCTGGGAAACCTCAGGCCCTTAGTCAAGTTAGGGAGTTCCCAGGCCCCTCCACCTCTGCAGCTCAGATTCTCTCTACAGTCCGGCCGCAATGTGCGCCTCTTGGTTGGGCATCGAGATTCCGTTCAGAGCAGTGACTTCTCTCCAACCTCGGATTCTCTGGTGAGCTTTACCCCCCACCACACCCTGAGTCAGTGGGCATGTGAGTGATAAGGGCTGTTTTCATACTCGTTACTGCCCACAGGCCACTGGTTCCTGGGACTCGACTGTGCACATCTGGGACTTGCGGGAGTCAACCCCAGTTGTGTCCTACCGTAATTTGGAGGGCCACACTGGCAACATCAGCTGCTTGTGCTACTCAGCATCTGGCCTCTTGGTAAGCTAGGCTAACTGGGGCTCCAGGTCAAGGCCAGTCTCTATTTGCCTATGGGGGTCACTGAGCTCAGGAATGTCTGTTTAGGCATCTGGCTCCTGGGACAAGACCATCCGCATCTGGAAGCCTACAACCAACAGCCTGTTTCTTCAGCTCAGGGGCCATACCACCTGGGTGAATAGCCTAGCCTTTTCTCCTGATGAACAGAAGTTGGCTAGTGCTGGTTACTCTCGTATGGTAAGGCCCCTCTCCAGATAAATCCCAGCTACACCTTTCCCGGTTTCAGCCATACTGCCCACGCACAACACAGGCAAAGACAAGACCCAGATACTGATCTCCAGTGACCTAACGGCCAGCACAAAGGACCAGGCGGCCCTATACCTGTGGCACCAACACTGCTCAACTATGAGCTCTTCTCATTTTGGTGCCAGAGGCTATGCAGGCACCTTAAACCTTGTCTGCGGACATATCTGGGCCTCAGAGCACTGACACCTCCCAACTCTACTTCTCATTTTAACTTCCAGGTCAAAGTCTGGGACTGCCTCACAGGGAAATGTGTCGAGACGCTAAAGGTAAGGCACCAGGGCTAGTACAAAGACCCTTGCAGGCTTTCCAGGACTGGCAGGACTCACTAACCCCGACTCTGATGCTGTGTTACTGACAGGGCATGCTGGATGTGGCCCATGCTTGCATTTTCACCCCAGATGGCAAACTCCTAGTGTCAGGGGCTGCTGATGTGACAAGATGACAAGTCTGCTCAAAGTCAAGAACTTCTTCCATGTAGCTTACCCACAGGCCTAAGGTAACTAAGAAAACAGCCACCAGATCTCTGCGGCAGGGACTACCCTATCCGATCCCATAAGGCTGTCACCTGCTGTAGGCAAGTGGTCACCTGGTTCCCCACTGGCCCCAGGTGGCCAGTGTAAAACACGAAGCAGGAAGCTAGTCAGTCTTGTACTTTATTGTCATTGTCGTCTCAGGCCTTGACTGCATACTTGCGCAGTGGGTACAGCCGCTCCTTCCGCTGCTGCTTCTTGGTCTTCAGCCTCTCTTCATGCTTGGTGAGCCGGCGTCGCATGGCTCTAGTCTTCTTGGGTCGCAGGTCCAGGGGCTTGTACTTCTTGCCCTGGGACAGAAATGACAGGGTGAGTCTGAGCACCAGGGGCTACTGGGAAGATGCTGACGCAGGTGAGCACATGGGTCTTCTCTTAGCAAGTAGGGCATTCAGAGTCTTTCAGCTGGAGGCTGTCAATAAGGCACCAGAGGTTGGCAGGCCTAATATTTGCATATCCAGCCTAATTTCCTAATTTTAACTACAAGGGCCAAGAGGGGGACTAAGCTTCAGTTTTTCTATGCATCACCCACCAGCGTCTAAGTTGAAAACCATAGCACAATTGAAAAGGGCACCCCTGGCACCAGGCCCTGTGGTGGCTACAACGAACTTGCTGAGCCACCAGGCACGGCTCATTAATGCTCTAGGTAACACACCAGACCACAGAAGGCTTGGTCAAAGTCACACTGACACAAGAAGTTCCTGAGCTCTCTCGTCTTCCTCTACCTCCCAGCCCTTCCCAAGTGTTCTTTTGTTTGTTTGAGATAGGGTTTCTCTGTGTAGTCCTGGAACTCAGTAGACCAGGCTGACCTTGAACTCAGAAATCTGCCTGCCTCTGCCTCCCAAGTGCTGGGATTAAAGGCGTGCGCCACCACTGCCTGGTCTTCCCGCGTGTTCTAAGTAAGGCAGTCCCTTAATGACCTCAGGGACCAGGTCCTGTGGGTCAGGCCCCTACATGGTGAAGAACAAAAGCAGTCCCACCAAGAATGTCAAGAGGCAACAGCCTCCAAGCAAGCTCCCCAGCAGTCCGATGAAAAGCAGAGAGCGCAGAGTCTTTAAAATGTGTAATTGGGCTTCCTAGGAGTGGTTACTCCTGCCTGCAAAGGGGCAGGCACAACGGGGTCACATTCTCATGCACCAAGCTCCTGCAGGTGGACAGAGGACCCTAGGAAGCTCTGTAGGGTAAACTGGGGACACGGAGCCACATCAGGCAGAAATCAGCATGTCAAGTTTACTTATCCACTTACAGCTCTGCCAAGAGCAGCCACCAAACACACCTATCTACTGTTCGTTCTAGAACACTGTGGACAGATGGCCTCTGTGAGTTCTAGGCAACCCTGGTCTAAAAGCAAACAAAACCCCAGAACTGCTACCCTGGTTCTTTGTGGACTGGAGGTATTCAGGGCAGATTTACTCACTTGCCTGATTATGTGAGACCTCATGGTTTTAACCCCAAGCACCACTCAAGTAAAAACCTCGACATCCAGTCACAGTTATATTAAGTGCTGAAAAGTCACATGCCTCAGCGTTAGCAGTGAAGCACAAAAAATTTCAAATAATTTTCTGGGTCCCAGCATCTCAGAAACGGAGAAACTGTACTTTGGACCTGCCTAGGTAAAAAACCATCCCCATGGGCAGTGGAGTCTCTGATGTGCCAAACCCTAACGCTAAATAAAATTTGAAGAGGTAATTTAAGACTCCACCCCAATCCTTCCAGAAACTAGCCATGGTCACAGGAGTCAATTCCCAGTAAAACATGTAAGTTTGAAAGCAGTAACACAACAAATATCTTGCAACTATCCCAGCAATACTCTTTTTTTTTTTTGTTTTGTTTTGGGTTTTTTGAGACAGGGTTTCTCTGTGTAGCCCGGCTCCAGCAATACTCTTAATGGCCTCATGGTATGGCTCTAAAGAGAACCTTTTGGAGGTTCCTGTTTACCAACTGTAGGTGTCCCTGGCAACCCAACCACTTCAAGCCTTCCAACAGCAAATTCTTGGCTGTGAGACACACATACTGGGACAGCGAGACACTGAACAGCTAGCTTTATGCCACTCAGGGTAGGTTCTAGTTCCATATTATAGCAAAGCAAGTCAACCCCCCAACAACTACCACATAGCTACCTTCAAAGCTAGTGTCCAGTCTACCCTGACCTCTGACCTTCTGACACCAAGAATTCATGTCAGTCTCAGCCACATAATGGGAGCCTCTTGAGGGCCGAGTCCCCCATACACTAGAACCTCTCCACAATAGTTCCTGGCCAGTGCTCACCTTGTAGAATTTCCTGAGGTTTTCTTTTTGAGTCTGGTTAATGACAGTGAGGACACGGGCGATAGATTTGCGTACGACTCGTCTGTAAAAATAGACGGCAAAAGATCAGGCAGGCACATACAACTCCCCAACACAAGGCCTTCATTTATGTCACCCAGGAGGTAAAACTAGAGGTAAGGACAGGTTTGTCAAGATCCACATGGAGACTTAATGCAGATTTGGCAACGAGGCAAGACCTTTACACTCAGGCCAAGACCTTATACCAAAGGCCAGAGACTGAGGCCATGCCTTCAAGTTAACTAGTTCAGAGTAAGTAGTCACAAACAGGAGAAAGAGACCGGGTGTGAAGAGAGAGAACTGAAGCCAGCAACAGTTGGTTTTAGTCATGGTGTTAAGAGATCAACTCGGGACTGGAACACATGGTCTCAGTACACAATTTGTCTCTTTGCAAGTCTCCCTAGTCCTTACCACTTGCTTCCAGTCTCAATGCAACCCACATGAGGTGGCACCACCTGGCCCTTCAGGAATGCCCTATTCTCTCAGCACAGTAGGTGGCCAAGGACAACTGGGGGGGAAAGGCGCTAAGGGCCAAGGCAGGGAAGGGTAAGCACCCAGCTGGGACCTCAAGGCCCACTTACATCTTGGAGAGCTTGGACGCGGCGCCGCCTGTCACTTTGGCGACGCGAAGCTGGGAGAGTTCCACCTTCAGATCGTCCAGTTGTTTCAACAGCTCCTCCTTCTTCTTGCCGCGCAGGTCCCGAGCCTTAATCTTGGCCTGCGTGAGAAGCGTCTCTGTGGGTCACTGAGCGGGAGCTCCCGCTTCCTCCGACTAAGGAGGGACCGTGCGCCAGAGGCCGCGGCGCAAGCAAGGGTAGGCAGTCTGAGCCGGCCCGAACCAGGCACAACCATACAGAGTCGCAGGCCTCTGCGGCTCCATGAGCCTCCCACGCCCGCCCCGCGCCCCGCGCCCCCGTCCCCACGTGTCCCCGGCGCCGGATGGCGCCCGATTCCCGTGGCCTCACCATTGCTGCGTCGTTCACGGCTGAGGCCGCCTGGTTCGAGAGAAAGAGGAAAGGGCGGGGCCGACTTCCTGGACTACTGCCGGGTGGCGCCGAGCACGGCCAATAGCGTGGCGGCGTGGGAGGCCCGCTCCGCCTGTGCGCAGTCGCGTCGGTGGTGCCCTCCGCTTCCGGGAAATTCTGCCCTACCAAGGTTGGCTGGTCGCTAAGCAACGCAGCTGGGGAAACTGAGTCTCGCGATGGGCAGCATCTGACTGGCTGGAGATAGCGCGGTGAAGGCTGCAGTTCCCTAGTCTGAGCTAGCCGCGGTTGGTGTCAGGGTGCGGAGGGCGTGAGGTGTGATTGAGATAGGGTCTCATCTCTTCCTAATGTTGACAGTGTAGGTGGTTAGCACAATGCCTCGTGAGTGTGTGTGAGAGCGAGCCAGCGAGCATGTTTAAAGGTTGGAAAACAACCTGTGGGAGTTTGTTCTCTCCTTCCAGCGCTCGGCGCTCAAATGCAGGTGGTCAGGGTCTACCGAACCATCTCGCTTACTTCCTCTCTCTCTGTCTCTCTGTCTCGCTCTCTCTCTCTCTCTCCCTCTCTCCTCTCTCCTCTCTGTCCCCTCTGCCCTCTCACTTCTCCCCTCCGCTCTCCTCCCCTCCCCTCCTCTCCCCTCCCCTCTCTTTTTTTAAAAATACAAGACCTCTATATATATCCTGGGCTTGTTTCATACCCAAGTTTGACATCGAAAATGCGCCACCACCTGGCAGGGGTAACAATAGAGTCAAACAGTCAAACATGAGCAAGATTTTACGGAGACGGATATGGAGTAGTGCAAATCTCATCCCCAGACTTTTTGGGATTTCCGACTATTGCTTTAGGTCTGGGCACGGTGTCACAGTCTTGTGATTCCAGCGCCCAGCAAGTGGAAAATGAGGATCCGGAGTTCAAGCCTCCTTCATTACACCTTGAGACCGTCTCCAGAGAGATTTCAAAACGTGTTGGTAGTTTGGTTCTATGGTAGTGTTTGCCTGGCATGCACAGAGCTCTGTGCTCAGTCCCTGGCACCGGTACATGAGTAAATTAAAAACTCCGAAACAAAATCAGAGTCTTGCTTTATTGCTAGTCCCAGTTGATATCTTGGCAAGTCCCTTCGCGTCTCAGGTTAGTGTATCTTTTGAGAATTAGAAGAACTAAACTGAAAACCCTCAAAGCTTCTAGCCAAGACCTGATGTGTAAAGATCGAGGGAAGTATCAATTGGCATTAACATGGTTAAAGTGCATATGGCCCTTTGCCCAGAGTCCCAGAAAACCACCAGCATCTAGATCAGATCAAAGCATACTAGATGTTTTGTTTCTGTAATAAGTGACCAAACTAACCAATTGGAGCCCTTTCTTTGCCAAGCTCCATTCAGCAGCTGCCCTTTTTCCAATAGTTCCTCAACTGTTGTTCATGACAGGATGCTAACAACAGAACAGGGACTCAAGGTACTGTAATGAACGTTTTTAGTCACCTCCCACCCCAAGAGTAGCAGTAGCACCCTGAGAGCTCTTAAGTACCAAACTGAGTTAAGCCATGTTTGTGTGCCTGTTTCTTCTGGAGCCAGTCTTTTTTTTTTTTTTTTTTAAGATTTATTTAAATGAGTACACTGTTGCTCTTTTTAGACACACCAGAAGAAGCCACCAGATCTTATTACAGATGTTTGTGAGCCACTGTGTGGTTGCTGGGAATTGAACTCAGGACCTCTGGAAGAGCAGCCAGTGCTCTTAACTGGAGCCATCTCTAGCCCTCCAGAGCCAGTCTTGAAGGTCTCTGAGGGTTTAATGCTCTCCAGGCCAGGATGTGGATGCTGGCTGGATGGAATGAGTTAATAGGCCTTTTGTAAGTGGGATAAGGAGAAATGAGCAGCGTGTGGATTGGGTTTAAATGAAGTCTAAAGGTGCAACTTCACAGATGGATCAGGATTCTACTAGAGTTACGATTATGCATCTTTCTGGAAATTTTTTGTGGTACTAGGATTAAACCTAGGATTCATAATGTCTTTGAATCCCCCAAGTATTGGGTTACATTCCCATCTTTGAAGACAAAAAATTTACAGGTACTGTAATTTTCAGCATTTTGCCATCCCTGATGTAATTAATAAGACAGCTTTTAAAAATTTTTTTTATTTTTACAGGTATCATGTGTGCAGTGCCGGGTGACTGATTTCCCTGGAGGTGGAGTTGCTGAACACTGTTGAGTTGCCATGGGGATGCTGGGAACTGAACCTAGGTCTTCTCTAAGAGTAGAAGTTTTTATTTATTTTTTAATTTTTGGAGACAAGATTTCACTGTGTAGTCTTGGCTGATCTGGAACTATGTGGACCCAACTATCCAGAACTCACAAGAACCCCTTGTCACTGCCTCCTAAGTGCTGGGATAAGAGGCATGTGCCACATTACTGGCTATGTGCAGCAGGAACTCTCAACCACTGAGCCAGCTCTCCAGCCTGGGGTTTGTTTTGAGGCAGGGACTCACTAAATACAGATGCTTGATCCTCTTGGCTTAGTCTCCCGAGGATCAGGACTCTGAGCACCACAGCAGATTTTATATCATAGATTTAAAATCCTATCTGCCGGCCATTGGTGATGCACACCTTTAATCCCAGCACTTGGGAGGCAGAGGCAGGTGGATCTTTCAGAGTTTGAGGCCAGCTTGGTTTTCAGATCTAGTTCCAAGACAGCCAGGGCAGAACAGAGAAACCCTGTCTCAGACAAAATCCTATTTGCCTGATGAACATCTGTGAACACAAGCTAGAACATTATTTCATTCACTAGCTTATTTGAGACTATTTTCCTGTCAAACAAGTATTTCTGGTACTAAGTTCCTTCTGACCAAGATGTTCTATGGGAGGGGCTGGAGAGATGGCTGGGCAAGTAAGAGCATTGGTTGCTCCTCCAGAGGACCTGGGGTTCCATTCCCAATACACATAAGACGTGGTGGCTAGCAACCATCTGTGTAATTCCAGTTCCGAAAGGATCCCAAGCCGGGCGGTGGTGGCGCACGCCTTTAATCCCAGCACTTGGGAGGCAGAGGCAGGCGGATTTCTGAGTTCGAGAGTTCGAGGCTAGCCTGGTCTACAGAGTGAGTTCCAGGATAGCCAGGACTACACAGAGAAACCCTGTCTCGAAAAACCAAAAAATAAACAAAACAAAAAACACAGAAGGATCCCACATCTTTTCCTGGCCTGCAGCAGGCAATACACCCACATGGTGCACAGAAACATTTGCAGACAAAATACTCATGTAAAATAATAAAAAAAAAAGTGTTCTGGGGATAAGAATTTCTTCTATCTTCTGATCAGTTTGTGTCCCATATTACTTCTTAGGTGTGGGGCAGGACTACATCCAGGATGAGACTTTATTCAGCGTCTACTTGCCCCCATGGGAGCGTGCATCCCAAAGGTTCGGGTGCATCAGCCTGGCAGTTTTTTATTTGAAGTTCAAGGAGAACTGTGCAAAGCAAAACCACGTTTTACCTGATTTTTACTCGAGTTCTATTAGGTGAAAATACAATAGCTTTCGTATAATTACAAATAAAGATTCGTTTCAGCCTACGGCTGAAATAAGATCCTGGGAATTCTGTAACTTTCCCTTCCTAAAATGTGCTTCTTCAGTCAGGAGTACAGATGGCCACGGAACGGCCGCAGGGGTCGGTACATCCACAAGAAAAGATGTCATCAAGCGTCCGTCCTGTCAGCCCCTGGGTTACACATTAATGCCTTTTTTTTTTTTTTTTTTCGAGACAGGGTTTCTCTGTGTAGTCCTGGCTGTCTTGGAACTCACTATGTAGACCAGGCTGGCCTCGAACTCAGAAATCCGCCTGCCTCTGCTTTTTTTTTTTTTTTTTACATTAATGCCTTTAAAGCCATTTACTTTTAGCAAAGAAGTCTCTTGTGGGTCCTTTTGTCTGTTGGTGCGGTTAGCGTTTAAGAGACTCCGGCACTGCGCTTCACTCCCTCTCATCCCTCAGCGCAAAGCGGACAGACGCGCTGACTGTACCTGCAGCCTGGCTTCTGGAAGGATAGAGTAACGGCTACAACGACCAGCAACACTACCCCAGCGATCCACAGTCCTGCGGCGCAGCCCCGCCCTCAAGAGCTTCCGGTTCCGGCGCATCCCGGAAGTGGGCGGGCGACGGCGGCTGCGCGCGGAGGAGGGGGAGGAGGTACCGGGCGGCCGCTTCCCGCCCCCGAGCGGAGCCGGTGCGGAGCGGAGCCGGTACGGAGCGAAGCCTAGGCGGCTGAGTGGCCGCCGCGCTCCCGCCATGGCCCGGAACACACTGTCCTCACGCTTCCGCCGAGTGGATATCGACGAATTTGACGAGAACAAATTTGTAGACGAGCACGAAGAGGCAGCAGCGGCGGCGGGCGAGCCAGGCCCCGACCCCTGCGAGGTAGACGGGCTCCTGCGGCAATATCCTTCCCGGCGCGGCGGCCCGTCTCGGCCTTCGCACCCTGATCACCCCAGCCCCAGACCCCTGACCTCCGCCCCTCCCCCTCCCGGTTCCTGCCAGTCCCAGGCTCTCTGGGTCCGTCGTTGGTGGCCTCACGCCTTTCTCAGCAGCGCAGCCCTGGAGCTCGTCTCACTCTGCTCGGCCGCTCTCCACATCCTTCAGGGTGGCCCTGCATCGGCCTTGGTATCCCTCTATCCCTCCTTGTAGTAAGCAGGGTCACTCCCGGGGCTGGTCCTCAGGAGGGACCGAGGTGAACCACCTTGGCAGCCAGGGCCACTGCCCTCCTGCGCTTGTCTAACTGGCTTTCTTGGGCCCAATTGCAGCCCGGCGTGAAAATAGGTGGGTGGATGGTTGAAGACTGACTAGAGGGCGGAGGTGGAGGAGGTGCTGCTTTAGGACCAGCCCTCAGGTGTGATATTGCCTGCTACCTTTTCTCACCTGTCGCCACGTTCCTCAGCACGTTGGGTTTTGGGCCTTTAATGGGCCGAGTACATTCAACAAGTAATGCGACTCTGCCATTAACCGCCTTGTGCAGAAAGCGTAGAAAAAGCTAGTGATTCAGAGCTCAAAAACACTATACCAGTGTCAAGTGTAAAAGTGGCTCCCCGCGACTGAAAATGACTGCTGGTGGCCACAGAAAACAAGCATTTAGAACAGAAGAGTAAAAATAGAGGTGATTGTCACAGCTGGCTTGGTCTCTTAGCAGTTTGAGCACCACAGGAAACTGATTTATTCTCACAGGAAGATTTTTTTTTCTTTATTCAAATAACTTGACAGGAAGTGTGTACCCCTCCCCCGCACTTGCTAGGATAGGGTTGGAGGCTCTTGCTGTATATAAATCAGGTTCTGGGTGTTTAATCAGTTGACTCAGCCTGGGTGTCAGGTGTACTGCTTTTGGGAGGAGTCCTATAGTGCTCCTCTAATATATCTTGAAAAGAACCCTTTTCGACTGAACAGGAATGTGCTTTTGAAATGTGGAGATTTCAGACTTCTATTTCCTGCACCATTCAAATGGTTAAATTGGGTCATGAGCAGGCCCACAGAGGGAACATTGGTTTTTAGTATGGTCAGGGTATCCTTTTAGTAGGCTGCTAAGTATCCTGGTTTATGTACAGTCACTGTTGACAAGGCTCCAGAACGATGCATTTGGGCCAGAATCCTAATATCGATGAAGAGACTGGGGTCTGTTAGCTGCTGCCTTGGTATTGTTGTTGCTGGGACTTGTTGAAGGCGCTGTTTTTTCTTTTCTCTCTCTCTCTCTTTCTCTTTCTTTCTTTCTTTCTTTCTTTCTTTCTTTCTTTCTTTCTTTCTTTCTTTTTTTTGAGGCAGCTTAGAGGCATTGGGTTAGCTTATAGAGATGGCTTCTACACTCATGGCAGTGTCAGAAGCCTTGTTACCATGGAGAGTGTACCTCTTGGGATTGGGAGAAAGGAGGCTAGCAGATGAGAATTGAAACCCTAGCAGATGTCAGGCCCAGGTAGGCAGAAGGATGGGACTAGTAATTCAGTCCCTGTCAGGTGCATTCAATCTATAGAGCCTCATATGAGTTTTAGGAGACGTTAGGAGGTGGTAGTCTCGGGGCTGTCTGGGAACTGTCACTGTGGAAGAGCAGAGTGTGGAGATAGAAAACTGCTGTGCTCCGGCAGTGGTGGCGCACACCTTTAATCCCAGCACTTGGGAGGCAGAGGCAGGCGGATTTCTGAGTTCGAGGCTAGCCTGGTCTACAGAGTGAGTTCCAGGACAGCCAGGGCTACACAGAGAAACCCTGTCTCGAAAAACCAAATCAAAAAAAAAAAAAAAAGAAAAAGCAAGCAAGCAACCTGCTGTGCATCCACATAGGCAGCATCTAACCTGTTCTAACTTCTGCGGGTCACATACCCCCTCAACCTCAGCATTCTTCTCTTAAGTGATAGACACAACTATGCTGGTCTTGCCACTTCAATGGGAGTAACACCGAACACACAGCAGGTGTCCTCCAAAAATTGGGTTCAGGATGTTGTAGGGCCAAGAGATTGTAGAAAAAGGCTTGGATTTGATGGGCAGCTCTGAATTGTAGTTTTGTGACTCTTGGGGCAGGTAATTTCCCCTCAGACTCAGTTTCATTGTCTCTAGGGCAGAAGTCAGGCTTTTGTTCCAGAGGGTTTTTAGAATAAGGTGAAATGTGACTGCAGATATCTGGTCCTGGATCCAAAACCCCCCACGGAGATTCTTTTCCTTCACGCCAGCAGTTTTAAAGTATCATTGTAGCTCATTTTCTTTCTCAGTGAAACAGCTTCTGGTCCTTGAAGTAGGACTGTAGAGCAGTGGTTTTGAGGGATTTGGTAGTTTTTTCACTCCACCCCAAGAAAATTTGGCAATGTTTGGGGACATTTTGATTATTACAGTTTTAGGATGCTACTGGAAACTTTAGGTTTAGAGGCCAGGGAAGCTGCTAAGTATCCTGCAGCATACATGAAAGAATCATCTGGTTTAAAATGGCTGTAGGGCCATGGCTGAGAATGGTCTAGAGGGTTCTTCAGTTGCCACAGCCTGTTCTCTGAAATTACTGGAAGCCATCTGGGTATGGACGCTAGTTTAGTAAACGTTGTAGAATTGTAGAGGTGCTTCTCTGCTCCTCATTCTACCCAGCACTTGTTGGCCTTTGGTTGTCAGTGGTTGCTTGACAAGCTGCAGTACTAAACCTAACGTTTTCATCCTTATGGACTAATTATATCATTTCTGCCCTTCCCTATCATCTACTTTGTGAGTGAAATGATTGTTAGTCCACATGTACTGTTAAGCTTATGGGACCCTGCTTATTGCTTGGGGAATACCAAGTTAGAAAAGTTATGGGGTAGAGGGCTATTAGTGGCTGTATCAGGACTAGTCCTTGTTTGTCTGAGGAAAAAGAAATCCAAAACTAAAGATAAAAGGTGGGGGCACCTATCTACCCTGAAAGGTAGGTCCATTCCAACATGGTGACTTGGTGAGGGAGTGACTTGCCTGGTAGTACAGACTAGCTTTTCAAGATGACACTCATTAGGGGATCTGGGAATTCAGGTTTGCACCAGAAGCTAGTTGTTCACACATGGGCATTGCTACATGGACAAAAGTAAAGACCTGATTGGGCAGAGTCATTCCTTGTTCTATTTTTGAAGCATTTTGGCTTAAGCCAGTGTTTCACAGGAGGAAATGAAAGTTGGCTGATGTAATTCAGTTTAAAATAGGTGTAACCTTTGGGGATATAACCTAGATTGTAATTTTCTTTTGTGTGCTGGGTATTCAGAACTCAGCAGTGAATTTGAAATTAGGATTCTATCTAAGGTTTGTGGGGCAAGGGAGCATTTTGTGGGCCAAAGTGAGACCTTGCAACTTCTCTACCCCCCCTTGAGACAGGTTTTAACTAGGTAGCTCTGGCTGGCTTTGAATCTAAGTGCTGAGATTTAAAGGCATGAACTACTAGGCCTATCCTGGGAGGTATACTTGACTACTTGATTTCTTTAGCAGTTTGATAAGAGGCACGGAGTGAAGATGTGTTTATGTGTAGCCTTGGTTGTGGTAGCTCAAATGCCTTTAATATCAGCACTCAGGAGGCAGAGGCAGGTGGATTTCTGAGTTCACGGTCTACAGACAAGTTCCAGGACAAGATTGGGGTATATAGGAAAACCCTGCTTTGAAAAACAAAACAAATCTATTAAGATGTGTTTACGTTTCTATTCCATTTTAGAATGAGAGAGGGTGACAATTCCTTGCTGTCCATTTGTGCATGATTTGCCATGAAGATCCTGTAGAGCAGAGACTGCCTAGCACTAAGGATGTGCAGGTAGTCTCCGAAGGGATGACTCTCACTAGCTTGAATGTGGCAAGCATGGCTCTGGCAGACCTTGCTCTTGCTAAAAACAGATTGCATTCTTGAAGCTAGCCCCCAAATTCTATTTGGCCCTATTTGGCTACTTCCTACTCCTGAGGCTGACTACCAAGGCCCAGCTATCAAAGTACTGAAGTCCAGCAGTCAAAAGCCCCCTTTGGCTCACCTAATTAACATGCCCAATTAAAACGAAACACCTCATTCTAATAATGGGTTTTCCCATTTATACCTTTATTTTTTGAGGTGTTTCTTTGTATAATCTTGGCTGCTCTGGAACTCACTATAGACTAGGCTGGCCTCAAACTCAGAGTGCTGGGATTAAAAGTGTGCACAACAACTACCTGGTTCATTTTACCTTTATAAACCACAATTTTCCTATGTACTCTATCTGTTGTCTCTATCCAGAAGCAGTCCTTTGTCCTCATTCTCTGGGACAAATACCTTTGCCCCCTTTTCCCTTGGTTCTTTCCCCTTCTCCCTCATCTCTCCCCCATGTTTGTCTCATATTCTCTGCCCAAGTTTTCCATTATGCTGAGAACTTGGTATTGGGGGTCCTGAGCTAATACTCTTCCTTTCAGGCTCTATTAGATTCTAACACAAAAGAGGGCAGGTTGTTTTTTGTTTTTGTTTTTTGTTTTTGGTGGAGGAAGCTTCAGGGAGATACTTCAGGAAGAGCTTGCAGGTTGGCAGAGGTCCCCTCTACTCCTTCCTGTGGCTCAGGAAAGGTCAGGGTTATAGCAGCCTGTGCCTGCCTGCAAGAGGCCAGCAGGAGACAGCGGATGGTATGGATAAGATCCCTTTAACTACTCTTAAGCTGTATATGAAGCGAGGTCATTAATGAAAGCATGGACATGTTTGAGTCTAGCCATCCTTAACTGGCTTTGATGCACAGGAGACATGCTTCGGGCGTTCCATGCAGCCTTGCGGAACTCTCCAATCAACACCAAGAATCAAGCTGTGAAGGTAAAGAGGTTGTGCTGCAACTGTCAGCACTAGGACTTTGATTGTGTTCTTAGCAGTAGTTTGAACTTCCTGGGACCTGGACAGTAACTCTGCATCACTGGGAGTGTGCTGCTACTTGGCATTGCTCTCCCCCTTCTCAGATACTGGTGCAGTGGGTGACTTGATAACCTTAAAGTCTTAGGGTTTGCCTAGCACATGTATAGTCCTGGGTTCAAGCCCTGACACCATACAAGAGAAAGTCATATACCTATAGTAAACTACTTGTTTTCTCCACAGTAAGTGCAATCACTTATTTGTAAAAATAAGTGAAATTTAAAGCCAAAGTTGTTTAGCTTACCTGTGTAGCTCTATCCGGGATGAATTAGAAAGGGTTGGTGTTTCTGGCATGTTTTGTCTATTGGTTTCTGTAGTAGTGTTAGGATTGCAGCTCCTGGCCTCATTCACTTTTTCCTTCCTTTATAGGAACGAGCCCAGGGTGTAGTCCTGAAAGTACTCACAAACTTTAAGAGCAGCGAAATTGAGCAGGCTGTGCAGTCACTGGACAGAAATGGCATTGACTTGCTAATGAAGTACATTTATAAAGGGTTTGAGAAGCCCACAGAAAATAGCAGTGCAGTGTTACTCCAGTGGCATGAAAAGGTACGTGACTGCATTGCTTCACTGTAGCTTGCAGTTCCCCCAGGGTTCACACTGAGCAGCCAGACTCAAGAATAGATGTAGGACGGCCTGATGGGCATTTGGGAATGGTAGGCCTAAACTTTGTCACTGAACATTCATTCACCTTACCCTGGAAGCATCTAGTGAGGATCTTTAAATACAGACATATTATTTTTGCTTTTTACCTGTGGATTTTTAGGCTAGGCAGGAAAACTACCCTTGATATAGGACAGGGGCAGGTCGCATAATGAGGTAGGAAGGGGCTTAGTTGGGACCTCATGTTTCTTTTGCTTGTGGAAGAGAGCTGCTGAAAAGGAGGAGTTGAAGACATCTTAAAAATATAGGCCCAGTCTCACTGCCAGAAGGAGCAGTTGGCAGAAATTGGAGTCATTTATTACAGCTTTCATTCACTTGAAGCAAAAAAGGTGTTTGTTTGTTTTTTTTTTTTGTCCTTTACTTGAAGGATAGAGGACCAAGGCACGTGTCAAACTTCTGTCCTGTCTGTGTCACCTGCACACCACCCCCAGCCCTATAACAGTTCAGCAAATATACCCACCACTTATGGGTTCCAGACTCTGGTGAACACAGTTCTTGGCATTGGTTCAGCATGAAATTTGTAAGAGTCTCATGTAGCTCAGGTTGGCTTCAAATTTGTTTTTTTAAACTGGGGATGGCCTTGAACTTTTGTTCTTAGTGCAGAGATTGTAGGCATGTACCACCATACTGAGTTTTACATGGTGCTGGGATGGAATCCTGGACTTTATGCATTCTGAGCATTATTCCACCAACTGAAGTACATCTTGAGCCTGAGACTTTCTTCCCTATGGTAGAGACAAATCCAAGGTTCTGGTATGTGTTCGGCAAATGCTCTTGTACTGAACTATATTATATCCCTTGGCAATACTGAGTTTTAAGAATGCTGCTTTTACAGGTAGGTCAGTTTCCAGCCAAGTGTTGGGCTGTGGCCTCTGGCCCTGTTGGTAGGTGCTGAGCCTCATCTTTGCTTAGGCTCAGAAGTTGCTGTTGGTGGTGAGGTAGTTAGGCCCTTTTACCACTGTGATGTGATCGATTTTGATGTCAGCCTGTCAGTAGGCAGTTCTCTGTGGGTTGCTGTGCGTTTCCATGGATAGGCAGGTGCTGACAGGCTAGAAGCAATGAGCATGGTACAAGGAAATTCAGGTTTTCTGTATGCTTGGGGTCAGTGGTCCCAAGCCAGTTCTATTGCTTCAAGAGCTGGCAACTTTTGGGAACCTTGGCTCTAAGTCAGGGCTCTCCCTAGAACTGGATCTCTCTCAGCAAGCCAGTGACATGGTGGGATTGAGGTCTGGGAATATGTGTCCTCATCTCCAGGGTGAGTGAAGCTCCCCTCTGGCCAATCAGGTACCATTTGACATGTTTCCTTTTCCTGTCTCCACAGGCCTTAGCTGTAGGAGGACTAGGCTCCATTATAAGAGTTCTTACAGCAAGAAAGACTGTTTAAAAAAAAAAAAAAAGAATCCTGTTACCTTGAGAAGAATTTTGGATGCCCAGGCTGGTGAAGAAGGGACTGACAGTGGACCATCTTCCTAGAACTCCCATCTAAATACTTCAGGACACATCTGCTGGAATGTATTTTACTTTTGAGGTGGAGGGAGATATTGTCTTATTGATTCCTAAATTCCTGCCTTTGTCTACAGAGTAACACAGAACCAACACTTGACTATCAGGCTATGTCAGGTGTACCTGTGAGCACTGTCTGTTTGTTTGAAATGGGGAGGGACTATTTGGGCAGGTGCAGATCCAAGGGCTGTGGTGAAAAGGAGAGAGCTTGGGTTCTGAAGTGGAAAAAACCTGAGAGTTTGTACAGACATCCTGTCTTCTCAGAGAAGATGGGCTCTCTTGGGTTCATTGTAAAGTGCCTGCTGCATCAATAAAGCTCTTGGCTTATTAGTCTATTCATTGCTGTGTGTTCTCTGTATGTTAAATGGTAAAGAAAGGGATAGTAATGGATGATGATAGTTTGGTTTGGAAAGCTGATGTGAAAGGGGTACAGGTGTCTCTGTCCTGCCATCCCTTGGGGAGAGGGAGAGCAAGCAAGGCTATGCCACAGCTATGCCATACTTCAGCTACAGTGGTGCTGGATGCTACCGAGAGACATTTTGCTGAGTGTTTATTTTTCTTACTATTTTGATTTGTATGTAATTTTGGAGCTTATTTAATAAAGTGCCAAACCTTTAATGATTGAAGCTTCAAAAGTCATCCGTTTGTATGATTACAGGTATAGTCTTGGGCAAGTTCTGGTCACTATCTCCTGATGTAGGGTCTGTTCTAAATCTCAGTAATAACAGTCAGCTCTTAGCCATAAAGTAAGTGCTCCTTAGCACATAAATTGCAGCATAAATGCTGGCAGAGGCCCCCATTCATATTACTGCAGCTCTGTGGCCAAAGTGCCACTGGCCCTGCCCTTCCTAGATCTTCTGTAGAACCACTGATGCTTGAGTGGTAAGTCTAGTCCAATGGGTCATTAAATCACATATTTATTCATCTTTAATCTGAGGAACTTGCTTCCTTTTGAAAGACAAACATCTGTAATCCTTGAAATGTGATGTTCAGTACAAAGCTGAGTGGTGGTGGCACATACCTTTAATCTCAGCACTTGGGAGGCACAGGTGGATCTTCTGAGTTTGAGGCCAGTCTGCTCTACAGAATGAGTTCCAGGACAGGCAGGGCTATGCAGTGAGAGCCTGTCTCAAAAACAAAAAACAAAAACCCCCAGAAGTACTAGATTTGACATGTCAAAATAAACACATCTCAAGCTTTATCAAGTAAAACTCACTGTAGTTGCATCTTGAAGAGCTTTAATCAAAAAGTATTGCACCACAAATAACTCTGCTACAGCAGTCTTTAGATAACGCCACCCCTATTTACATTGGTAGTAAGATCACAGTCCAGTGCTCATATGTAAAGGGCTACACACTGTCTCTTACCAAAGTTTATAGAAGTAAAGTGCATGAAGCCACTTGGAATAGCTACTGCACTCTTCTAGTGCTGGAGGAGCTCAACATGCAGCAGGAAAACCATTCTAAATGAGTGGGCCCCACAGCCACACCACACCTTGCAGGTAGGTGTGTGTGTGTGGGGTGTGTGTATGTGTGTGGGTGGGTGTGAGAGAAAGAGACAAAGATGGACACACCAGTTCAAGGGTCTGAGAAACCTAAGGTATAGAAAGGGCTTCCACAGCTGGAAATGCAGCTGCCTCTGGAGGGCTGTGGACTGCTCAGTCCTCTGGGGTTTCTTACCAGGGACAGGAGGAAGGGAAGGAATCCTACTTGGAGAAGCTACGTCTTCCTCTTCAAAATCACTTAACATTGGGACTCTGGTTTCATGTCTCCACTAAATGGGAAATGGCATCCTAAAGGGAAACCTCTGTAAGAAGAGCCACAGCCAAAGCAATGCCATCCTGATTTAGATTTAGAAGGCAAATGATGCAAAAACGGATTTCTGTACAACACATCATATGCATGTACATAAATGTTGACTTTAAGTTGAAGAACATAAATTTACATAGATACACAGTAACTTTAGAAGCTCCAATTATTAGTTAATGAAACTTTCATCAAACTCAATCACATGGCTTCCCTTGGAATCTGATGTGGCTTATCCAGAACAAGTACAAAACTGAACATGTTTCTATCAGCTAAAATGGAGGCATGTGTGCTATCAAGTGTGGCAGCCAGCTGGACTGCCTGGGTGCTATGTATCAATGTAGTGTCATCAGAAATAACGAGGGTAGGAGAGGGACAGCCTGCTTCCATTGAATTCAGCAGGTTGTTCTTAAGTAGAAGTGTGACTGGCATTTGCTCAGTGGTAATATGAGAGAATTCAGAGCAAAGCTGGAGAAACTACTGCTTCAAAGAGCAGGTACCACAGAAGGCAAGAAAAATTACCAAGGGGCATGTGTCCTGGCACTAGAAAGACTTGAAGCTCTGATTTTCCTTTTTAAATGGATTTTATAATACAGAAGACATGTTTATAATAGTGAAGAACTTTTGCTACAAAAATAGTTTTAAAATGGTTTACCAGCAACCCATCCGAGACGAGTACATTCATTAAGAAGGCAATTGAGTGTATTTGGTGCTATACGTAGAGATCATTCCGTCTGCTTGCTAGTTTTCTCAGGACTGGAAAGTTAGTCCACACTGGCCCCGCAACCTATGAGATGGACACATCTCAAGTTCTAGGTGGTTGGGGAAACAAAGTGTAATGATACTTTCTTGAGAGGCAACAGTGCATGAAAACCCAGACATGCTAGTGGGAAGGGACTCCAAAGACCACCCTTGAGTTGGCTTTTTATGAAAGGACTATTTCCACCTTCAGTCATGTTACCTCTGCTTGATAATTAGTTTTCACCTGACATGTCAATCACTTCAATTTTAAGTGCTATGTTAAAAGATAGAGGACTCAGTTGCAGCTGGCCAGAGCTGGGATATTAGCAGCACTGTGGAAATCTGGGCAGTGCCCAGGATTCCTTCTCGTGTTTAGTGACCATTTTGATAGAGTCAGCTCCCTCTGAAGTTCATTATCAATCTGCCAGGAGGTGGGCCTAAAGTCTTGTAAACTGTCTAGACACTTGTACAAAATACTGCAGTTACATCCATTTATAAACCCACCCAGTCTGCTGTGTCAGTATTCTTTTCACAGGAAGAGTGTCAGCTCATGTAGCTCTATCCTTGAGTGGGTCTAGGACCATGGTATCCGAGGGTTGGAGATAGATGGCCGGATGCTGCCCTTGGGAGCTGGTTTGGATCCAAACCAAGACATCTGCATTTGAAACAGAAAAGGCTTCTGAGCTAAGAAACAACTACATGCAGTGGGAGCAGAAACGGCCCTTGTCTTTTAGTTACTCCAGTTTGTAAGAGGAGTAACCAAAAAGCCTCCAATGTGCAGGGCCAAGAGCTCAGATTTAGGGGAAGAACTGTAGAAAGACAGTTGAGAAGACAATGGAACTGTAGGAGGTTTCTCTCACTCCATTATAGCATTTATGGAGGTGCCTTAGGAATTTCACAGGGTTTGTTGTGCTGTCGGTCAACCTGAGACTTTGCACATACTAGGCAAGCACTTTACCACTGAGCTACACCCTAGCCCAGGGGGAAAAATGTTAAGTGTAGGTACCAGTCATAACTGGAGCAGTTGAGAAAGTGCCATCAATGAAATGCTGTGATGAACAAAGTCTGGTGGTGACAAAGGAAAGAACATTAGGCTAAAGAATGTTCTTTCAACTGCCTGATCAACTTCATCCAGCAATGGAAACAGCACATCCGGGAAACTCACCTTATATTCCAGAGTCTCTTTGAGCATATTCTCCTCCTCTTGTGAGAAATTCAGCAGCACTGACACTGCTTTTATGAGATGAAAAGCCTGAAACAAAACCCACTTTTGCTGCCATAGGTCTTGCGGGGTAGGCAGGCAGTTAGGGGCTAAACAGCAGCATTCTTGTTCCCTTGTTTCACGAGGATGAAGTGGTGGGTGGAGCTCCAGCTCTGAGTCATCTCACTTTGAGGACTGAGAGCCAAGAGAACATCCTACCCTCTTCTTCATGGTGGACAGACTATTATTTATAGGTCTCTGGCTTCAGCAGCATTCAAGCTAGAATTCAGAGGGGAACCACATCTCCCCAGGAGCCACTTCCCATCATGATCTGCTCAGCAGGTCAGTACTGAAGGATGAGTACAAGGGGAAAAGGCAGAACTGGGCTGAGAGGGAAGCCATGCAGAACTCTACAACCACCCCACCTCCATCCTCCCAAAAGCAGCTTGGAAGCTTTTACCTCAGATTCTCGACAGGACATGAATTTTAAAACAACGTGTTTAAGATATTCAAAGTTGATCTCTCGGGCATCAGTCAGGTCCGTATTATTAGTGACAGAAGGGGCCATATTTGGTATCTCAGGGCCTGTCTTCTCCCGGACCTCAAAAAGCTCACTATCAGGTTTGATTTTCTGAAAAGCAATGGGAGAGGTGCCGTGTCAAACCCCTCAAGCTAGGTCTAGTATCACAGGTTCTCTAGCCCCAGCTGTGATCATCTATTGTTCCTTGACTGACTGTCCACATCACTGGGTGAAAAGACCCTTAACTAGAATTGCCTGAACCTAAGGAAGGCTCTGCTCTTCCTCTTGGGGTCAGTGGCTTAGAGGATAAACTAGGTCATGTTATTCTATCTATTCGAGAACACAGGCAGTTATGGAGAAGGCAGACTCAGACCTTTGCCCACAGTCACGTGGACACTTGGTTCACAAGAACCCTTCTCAAGATCTAAGACTGTACTCCCACCAGTCCACACCTGATCTCTGCAATCAGCTGAGAGAGTACATCAGGTAGCCAAGGACCACGGATGGACCAGAATCAAGGGAGGGTATGGGAGTTGGTGGGGGGTAGGGCATGGAAGGTACTCACCAACTCTTTCTGCAGAGTCTTCTTAAGTTCCAGCATCCTCTGCTGCATCTGCTTCATAATCTGAGGTAACCCACCCCAAAGCCAGGTGTCAGTGTTAAGTTAGAAGGTCTTCAGAGACCCTCCTGAAGGCTCATTCTTCTTATCCCTTGAGCTGCCTTCCTTTCTTGCTGTTCTACCCTTTGCTTTCCAAGGCCCCTGAGGGGCCACAGTATTATTGTTCTCTCTACAGTACACTCCCCACACCCAACCTTGTGTGCTGGGTCCTTAGGACTATTGGTAGTGTTCATATACTTTGAAAGTGCTGCTGTGAGTGCCTCTGCAGAACATATTCCATTTTTTTTTCTCAAAATTAATTTTATGTGTATGGATGTTTTGCTTGAGGGTGTGTCAGATCCCATGGGGCTGGCGCTGCCATGTGGATGCTGGGAATTGAACCCAGGTTCTCTGGATAAGTGTGCTTTTTTAAAAAAGATTTAGGGCTGGGCAGTGGTGGCGCATGCCTGTAATCCCAGCACTTGGGAGGCAGAGGCAGGTGGATTTCTGAGTTCGAGGCCAGCCTGGTCTACAGAGTGAGTTCCAGGACAGCCAGGGCTACACAGAGAAACCCTGTCTCGAAAAAACAAAAAACAAACAAACAAAAGATTTATTTAATGTATGAGTACACTGTAGCCGTCTTCAGACACACCAGAAGAGGGCATCAGATCCCATTACAGATGGTTATGAGCCACCATATGGTTACTGGGTATTGAACTCAGGTCCTCTGGAAGAAAAGTCGGTGCTCTTAACTGCT